CCCCCACACTCCTTCCTTTTTATGAGGATGCCTTAACATGTAGTGGAATGACAAACTTGTGACCGAATGGCGACTGGTAAGTTATCCCTAACTGTTTAAAAATAGCTTTAGGGAGTCCCAGATCACACAGATAGATTTGTCCACAATTATCTGGCAAGTTCAGAGGCAGTCCCAGACACATGGACCATTTATTTTGTATGTCGCTGCCTCCATCAGCTGGTGGGTCCATGGCCATTACTGGGGCTTTGCTCTGGTTGGTCCAATTAACAATGGTGGTGTACCATGGTTGACTGCGGAGGTGTTTATTCTCACCATTGTCCAGGCAGTTGATTATTATGTCAACTGGGAATGTAGGAAGGCCTGGAAGAAGGTCATGTTAAATATTACAGTCTTTTCAAAATAGTGTCAACTATAGCACAAAATAAAAAGTGTGTGTGTGCATGTATGTGTGCATACATGTATCTGTGATTTGGTCTTTTTAAAAAATGCTACTCCTGGTCTTTGTTTTCATCTCAACATACCACTTGGATCGGAAGTCTTCTTTCCACTGGTCAATTCAAACAAAGCTATCTCTTCCGCCAGCCAGTTCAACATCTTAAGAAAATTTGGCACAAAGAGGATCACATTGACATTGTGGTTGGCTAGCTGCCTTGCACACGACACACCCTGAGCACCTTGCATATGTGGCCCACATAGCACCACCACCGTGGGGCGCTGGTGAGCATTACGAGGATTGAGTCTACAAAAAAAGAAGGAAAAAGTTTTGTGTTTATTCATGATGATGTTAACTTCAACAGTAACAAGTTGCTCCCTGTGGCATTATGCCAACTAAAGGCAATACTTGGTATCACAACACGTGTCAACAGACTGCAGATTAAAAAAAAAAATATTTCTAATTACAGATAATGAAATTCTTACTAGACTATTTTATTTAATGAATTACATTTTTCAGTATTTTTTTTAAATGAAAAGCTATCATTACTTAAATCAGTGGGTCTTCTGAATACACAATGTGCCCACTGCAACCACCTGTCTTACCTGTGTGCACCACCAAGAAGCTGCAGCACCATTTCACATGCAGATCTACCCACAACTTCCAGCAAGCGCTCTGTCTTAAATCCAGCTTTTTCCGCTTTCTCGAATAGTTTATTGCGTAAATCTTGTGGAATGCAAGGAACAACCAAACCGGCATCTAAAGACGATTGAAAATCAACCTATTCAAATAACTGTACAAAACAATTTACTCCTGTTTAAAATTCTGATAATATTTCCTATATGTTTGGAGAAAATGCATAATTTACATACAGGCTGGCAGAGTTTACATTATTGAACAAAACAATAACACTTTCACCAACTTCTTCAATAATCATTTCTGTCTTTTTCTCAGTTGTATTGGTTTTCTACATGCAAAGATACATCTGTATCTTTCTTAAAAGTAAATGATTAAATATTATAACAACAAACCATCTTATATTATAGTCAGTTCTACCTGTGACATAATCTTTATCCATTCCACTACTGGCACTGGATTTAATTTTGATCTGCCTCAGTTCCACAGGCCCAGACTGCAAAACATTTTCATCACACCGGTATTTTGGAGGCTGCTTTTGTGCAGCTATCTGCATTTCAGCAGGATAAGAAGAACTCTCAATCTCCTCAAACACAGCCTGCTTATCAAATAAAGCTAAGTTTTTCTCAAAGTCAAATTCTCCTAAAAATGACTGAGACGGTGCACTGAAGCACTCTTCCCTTGGAGTATTACGGCGCCGACCTTCTATTTTTTTAGGAGTGCTGCGACCGCGACCACCTCTCCCTGAATTTGTTTTAGTGTCTGATGCTGAAAACCAGTTATGTGTCACTATGATTAAATGACATTTAAAATGAGATCAATCAAAATAAATCAATTATAAGTTACAGATCTACTTATAAAAGTTAAGTGTTTTCTTAAAACATGATGACCTTGGACTGCAATTATAGATTTACTTTTAAAAAATCTGGTTAAAGAAATTAGTGAAAGGACAATGTTAAATCTCCTCAGCTTAAATGATGCTACAACTATTACTACTAACCAGACCCAGAACGCTTTCTGAATGAGTCTGCTTCTCTTGTTGAAGACACACTGTAGTTGTACTGATCATTTCCATTTGGAAAACCATTAACTCCTTGACCATTCACTCCCTGGTAACCATTGGACCTTCCATTCCTTCTCCCAGGATCATTACTAGCTTTGGGTTTCAGAGGTGTGGTATCCAAATACCCCTCTCCTGCATCAGCAGCATTAGGTGGAGTAACATGTCCATTCTTGACTTTATGTCTTATTGCTGGAAGCTCTTCAGCTTCAGTGGATGTCTTCAAAATCTTTAAATCTTGAATGTCTATTGCACTGCAAGGAACAGGCAACTAAGAGATTTAAAAAAATTATCACTTCATCTACTGAGATATGAGAATCAATACCCAGTTCACAATTTTTTGACAGATTTGGGTCTTATTGATAAAAGATCCAGCAAACCTTTTGCAATTTTTCAAACAGTTATTTGGCACCAAATTCAAAATCTCAGTTTTAACAATTTGTATTGGTTATTTCTTGTGCATACCTAAGTGTAACTGTTGGGACCTCACACAGCATTCCATTGCGAAAGACTTTAATTAATGTAATAGACTGGTCTTCCCTGTTGACCAATGACACTTGACCTTGGTAAGTCCCCAAAGTGTCACCACAGTCAACAGAGACAACACAACCGATCCAATCTTCAGACATTCTGAAAATTAATAAATAGCCATATATTGTATAACTCCCTAGATTATTTTTCCAAACATATGTGTTGTGCTGAACAAATAACATGCATATGGTCTCTTCAGACTTGTTATCCCTGGTATTATGAAAACTTCAAGATGTTTCAGAAAACAAGGACATTGGTTTAGATAGTGAAAGAACTATGGTAACAAAATTGAGCACAATAAGGAGTACATATGGGTACTTTGGTACTCTGGTCTACCTGATAAACCTTTGGTACGTCTATACGTGCACCTGAATTTGTAAACGATAAATGGGCTCCCAATTTGAAGAAAAAAAAACTGGTCATTGGGAACCTACAACGCCGAGAAGCAGAAGAGCCGACAAGAGAAGCGCCTGGCTGAGCCTACCACCACGAATCTTCATACAAGGTTGCGTTTGCCCCAGTTTTCGGTGTTACACGCTACAAAGTATGCACTTTACATATAAAGGCATAAACTGAGACAAAGGTTGTATAGCACAGCTGAGGTTAACCGAACACTGACAAAGATATTTGATAATAGATTCAATGAGAAACAGACTCACTACTTGTTTTTTCTCGAAAAACGATGTCATACTTACTGTATATAATATTCAATGGTGAAAAAAGAATTCCAAGAAGTTTCAAACAACACAATGAGTTTCGGTGAGCTAATATTTTCCAAGATTGATAACTACTTCCTATCAAAACAAACAAAACTTTCGTGAAATATCATGGCGGATCCAAACTGTCGCTTACAATATGATTAAAAAGATCGAAGCATCTTACTTGTCACTTTGAGCTATTACGTGGATTAACCTTAAACATTATCAAAAATATTATCAAGTCAAACTTTAGTATGGTAACAAAAGCAGAAAAACGGTACATTTCGTGTATTATTTAATCGCTTAAAACAAATTAAGAAACTTCCGCTTCCGCTTTATCTCTTTAACTCTAGTAATTAGCTTGCACAAAGGTCACATGTTGAATATAAACTTGAATTTTTACCTTTGATGTGAAAAAAATTTTAAATAAACAATTATATCTAAAAGCTAATGAAATCGTCATTTCAGTGCATATAAACTATTATTATTTTAGAAAGCCGCATCGTCTTCAGCATCGGTTCAATAGTGTAGTGGCTATCACGCTCGCCTCACACGCGAGAGGTCCTGGGTTCGAACCCCAGTTGAACCATCGCATGTTTTTTCCTCTCCATGTTGGAAAGTCGTGGTAACAACAAGTGATACAGATGCTGACACATATTGACATTTTCTATCAACATTGCTAAAACGCTTCCCTACACAAGCTGCATTTGCTTAAATGTTCGTATGGCATGAAGTGTAGTGGTAAATAAAATTATAGTTCTATCATTATAGCTCTAGAGTGGGAATCACTCACATTGTTAGGAGCCTTGGAACTTGTGTCAAACAATGTTTCAAAAAGGGTATATTTAAGAAATACCAGAAAATGAAATGGAATAAATTGGAGAAATATCATATTACATTATTTCTTGAAAAATTGTATTTACACAGGCACGTCCTGCTTACTGTGCTTTACAGACTGGATAGAACACAAGTTAAATTTATGACCAAAATTTGAAGAATGTTCAGTTATAAAGCCTTTTTCTGCTACCTGCAAGATTAGCAATACCTTAGGGCAGTTGGAAGATAGTGGTAGTAGTTTGAATTTGATAATAACTGTTAAAAGTATATTCTGAAGGCATTTTCAAGCCTTTGGCAATTTCCGTAAAGCTTCCACACGCCTGACAGGTATCATATATTGTCAATAACACCACATCAGATAGCAGGATTTGCTTGTCCAATCGTAACCTCTTTGGCTGCCTACCACAGCAAAGAGGGTTGAATTCCCACTCATTCTCGTTATTCTCTTTTATTATTTTTTGAATGTATTATTATAAATATATATTAATGTAAAATGATTGTTGATAATTCTTTTTGCACATGAAGGCAGGGAAGAAAGGTTGGTTTTTATTTTTATTGCATCTCTTATCATGGTTCAATGGTTGTTGTGACAGGTATCAGCTAGGTTGATGTAATATGAAAGGCATTTACTCTTAGAAGACTTACGTAACATTATGTATCTTTGATGAAAAAACAAAATCCCAGATACTCTTAGAAATGGTTTATTAATACAGATTCAAATATATTGAACTTTTTGATAATTAGTTAATGCATTCTTGTCATTCTCTACAGACCCGAGCTTGAACACGTTAAGTAGAAAACAATACAATACAATGAGAAGTATTACAACTTGATATATAGGTAAAAGACCAAAAATGGTAATTTATCTCACTGGAAATGCTTCTATTCTTATGCCCGTATTTTAAAGAAGTGGTAAAGCTGTTTTAACATTTAAAAATGTACAGACATGATAAGTTATTTTTGTCAACTTTAATGCAATTTTACATGGTAATTAACAGCAATTCAACATCCAATTTCGCAACAGGTAAAACAAACATTAAGGATATGTAACTGACATAGGGCTTCCAGTGTTGCATTTGACAAGCTCTAAAAAATGCAACAATTAAGTGCTCTCTAGCTTTTATGATTCTGGAATAACTGAGAGTTTTCAGTTTTTGCATCTAAAGGCTGCTTCTCCCATAAAATTACACCAATTGTCATTGACCCCAAACTCGGAAAAGGAAACCCCAAGAGTAACTTTTCACCATAATATCAAAGCAAATCACCTCAAAGAAATATTTTTCTACAGAAAATTTAAATTTCCACAAAATTTTGGACCATTTGAACTTGAAATAAGGTCAAATACAAGATCATATTTGAAATCCCCATATGACTTTAAGATTTCCAATAATTCCTTCCATTTGGGAGACATTTAACATTTACTTTCAAAATATGCTGCCAAAAAAAAAAAAAA